ATATGCGAGTTCACTGCTATCAAATTTATTTAATAGCAAGGGGTAGCATTGGCAAAGGTTCCGCAAAGCTTTGATCAATCAATTTGAATCGTTCTAAGGATTCGGTATATTCCTTTGATTAAGGTAGATTCAGCACGATTTGTGCTTTGCTTGTATTGACATGGGTATATCAAGAATTGGGGGTTTGAATCAAAGTAAATTAAAACCGAAACACACAGACCCCTACGGAGGGCTAGAACTATATGCTGGCACAACCACACAGCGTGATTTGCCCTTAAGACCAACGACTGATCCTAAGTTCAAAGAATACCCAACAACTGGATATACTTCTCGCAGTCACAAGGAGCAGAACACGACGTTCCTATACTCACAAGTGCCGGGCCCGAATGGCTGCTAGCGAAGAGGTTTCAGTCTGGCGGGAGTGTGTCTTTCCTTTTTACGGATTAGCACTGCAACGTCGTCCCAAAATCACTTGTATTCCAGATACATCGGATCACTATTTATATATACAGAATATAGAATCGCACAGTACAATTAATTTAATACAATAAATGTTCAGAACCGCAAGGAAACTTCTACAATCGGTCAGATACCTTATTGGGCCCATATTGGTTCCAAGATTGTAGTATACCTCCAAACATAGGTAGGTACTTCAATATTCATTTAATTTAATTGTTTTTAGAGAATGACTCGAATGGTGTTCAACTGTCATTGCTATTCAACACTTACTTCAATCGTTTGTCACCTCGTCCGGAGGCAAATCAGCTCTCCTCAATTCTAATCCTATCAATCTGATTCATCTGGATTAAACTAATTGCTTCTCTCTTTCAATAGACACCCATTGTGTCTATACTCTATCAAGGGAGTTACGCATAGTATTCATTTAATTGCATTCTTCAATATTTTCTATGTCAGGACTCCTTGACATTCATTTGATATGTCTTCGGAGCCTCGCAGTACTTCAATCGTTCTTCTAGTCATTTTCCTCAACCATGCAACTTGATTGGTCTATGAGACTAAATCACAGTCTTTTAGATTAATGCATGATCTTGTTCTAGAAGGAGTATTTGATAATTCCTGAGTTCTAGAAAGTCATTTCAAGTCAATCCTCAGCTCATGGTCACTTGAGTAAGTTCTTCCAAACTCCTGCCAGTGTAAAGTCCAATAAGAATACCCTTGGTATGTCATACGTGAATGATCATCCTTCGGATGTAGTCCGAGTCTGGTATAATCCTGCTTGACAAACAGGTAGACTGCTATCCGAAGGTAGTATCGGGGATGGGTAAACTAACCAACTTGTGGTAGTATGGGTATATGGTCCCTTCAACTTATTAGACTGATTCAGTATTGACTTTGACTGTCAATCTGGGTCTCAATTACAGTCCTCTTGATACAAATCTATACGTGAAAATGTCACAATTCACAGCATAGACGTCTAGCCAAAATTTAGGTGTGTCATCCCCCCCAAACTAAAAAATTTGACCGTCCTCGGTCATTCGTAGTTTTGTACAGGGAAAGGATACCCAATCTGTTATTAGATTGATTCGACAAGACTATATCTCCTTTTAATGTAAATCACTGGGTTTGGATCTCTACTTCGTGCTCTCCAATCAATTTGGATGCCCTCAAATCGGTTTCTAGCGCTCATCTTATCAATTTATTCACACGCCTGCTACGAATCGTAGCAGTTTAGTGCTCAATTTGAATTGAATACTTTTTCGGTATTCCTATCACATTTCAAAATTTTAATTCACAATCTTCTTATCATCTAGTCACAGAACGAGCTTCCATTTGACGGAGAGCTGCTCTGACGTACGCACTGATTCAGTGTGTACGTTTATTTGGTTCAGGGCACGGGGTTCAACAATTTTTTGTCGAAGTCCGTTTTTCTCTTTATTCCCTTCTTTCATCTCGTTCATTCAAAATGGCTTCAACCTCGAGTCAAACTCGGGCTGCAGTTTCGACCACACTTCTTCCTTCTTCATTAGCGGAGGCTCAAGAGCTGATAGTGGGTCTCAAATCCAAATCTTCGCAACCTCTCTTCTTCGAGAGTGATTTGTTTCGACGCCTTTTGGAGGGAGAATATTCTTCTCCCATCCTAGATTCACAAAATTCGCCTGACCATAAAAGTTCTAAACCTTTTCCGGCTTTTTCATACTCTTCTGCCTTGGTTCCATTCTGCTTCCCTCCCGGCTCTTCGCACCATTTATCAGTTGCTTCTGGATTGGATCTGTTTTGTTCTGCACGCATGATTATTCAGATATTACATCCCCTAATTGAGGCGTCTGATTCTTTGGATTCGGGAGAAGCTTACAATGCTTTTGAAGAGGCAGCACCTTTTTTAGTACGTCTCTTTTTATTTTCTTTTCTCATTTCATTCTTCTTATTCGAATTAATTGTTCTAGTCTTATGTTCACGACTTTTGGATTGGGCGCGCCAACTGTCCTTTGTTTGCAGAGCATGTACTCCGGACGGCTGACAGACTATTTCAGTGTCTCTCTGCTTTCCTTCGCGACAGTCTGGAGCAACAATGGGGTATTCCCTTTAATCACTAATCGTCCTTTTTGGTACGTTTATCTCACTTATTTATTAATTTGGTTTTTCTCATTCCTGGTTGTAGGGTCCTTCCGATTTCAAACAATTCCCTGTTATCCCTATTCCTTTTTGTCTTTGATTTCGAGAGGGCAGTGCAATGATGCGTCTTGCCTCTCCCAAGGATTTAGATCCATTCGTTTCACTTCGTTCTTCAATGACAGAGACACATTTGCTTCCCAGAGGCCCTCGGGTACCTTCACCCGTAGAGGATTCCTTCGAGTCTTCTGAAGAGAACCGGTCGGTGTCCCCTCCGAAACGTAACAAATGTAAGCGTGAATTGGCTAGCTTAATGGCTGATGCCTCTACTATTCGTTCATATTTCGCATTGTTATAACTTCATTTAATCTAATTCAGTTTTTCTCCTTTTAGTGGAGCGACGTTCCAATGTCAAGTCACCTCTCAAAGAAGATCGTCCCATACTTCCCAAGGCTTCTTCTTCAAAGAAGAAGGTGGAGAAGTCTGCTCCGAAACCCAAGGCGACAGCTCGGTCCAAAACCACTGTCAAAGTGGTGGAGGAATCCCGGGTTTCGCCTGATTCAGAAGAATTGGCAACTCCTTCCTATCAAATCAAACGCGTCCGGCTTCCCCCTCGCCTTCGTCAGGCCGCAAAAGGAAAAGCACGTCAAATGGAAGTCTTGGATGTCGAAGAGTCCGAGACAGAGGAGGAGGTGGTACCTCCACCCTCAAAACGTCTCAAATCTTCGAAATCCGCCCCCGCCCCTCCCAAGGCATCAAATTTCCGTCCCACCCTGCTCATCGATGACCAGGGTTGTTTGAAATTGCCAGGAGACTCGGCGGAAGGCTTTACTCCTTTCAAACGAATTGAACACGCCCGAGTAAGTTTCCAATTTATTCTTATTTTATTTAATCTGATTCATTTGTATCAATTTGAATAGAACAGCGTGCCTTTGCAACGCCAAAACCCCATATTCGACGTGAACCCCGAGTTCCTTGATTTAGGTGTTATTTTGACTACCCAAAAGGCCAGCTTCACGATGCAGGATTTACTGCAGATTAACCATTCAATTCGTGATGTAAGATCTCTATTCTTTTATGTTCATTTAATCAATTTAATTGTGTTTTTTGTAGCCTTCAATTCCGGCTCAAGCTTGTGTTTCAGCCTTGTCCCGGGGAGAATTCAATCTGAACGCTTCTTGCTTGCCAGGGCTCAAATGTGAGTCATGCTCCTCTCGGAGCCTCAAGTGTATGTGCTTGCTGGACGTGGACCTGGCTATGAACGCACTCAATTTGCTTCATGTTGCCACCACAAGCAGCACACTCAGTAAGTTATTTTTCTTATAATTGATTTATTAATTCTGATTTTTAATTTTATTCATGTAGACTTGACGAGCTCCCTTCAACGCACACAGGAACTCCGTATGCAGCTGGACGGGCTAGGTGCCTTATTCGATCAGGCCCGCCAGTCCTTCCTGCGGTCTTTCCTGGATCTACAACAGGCTGGTCAGGACCCAATCGTTGTGCTCGAGGCCCTTAAGGCTGCCGAGCCTCAGCGCGAATCTCTTTCCGTTGAGGATTGGACTTTCCTGTCCACGCTTTTTCAGTGGTCCAGCCCATTCAATTTGAATGGGTTGAAATTTGACAATCGGACGCCCGCAGAATGGATCGATCTACTCCGTAGCATCCATTCTGGCACTTCTTCAGCAACAATAACCTCGGACGGACATCTGGTAGATGCTTTTCAGCCCCCAGAATCTGCGGTCGAAGTTTTGGAGGCCCTTGACACTCAAGGCTCCCCTCCAATTACTGTCGTTGAGAAGGCTTCGGGGGTCGAAAACCTGGCAAGCCTATCCGAGGGAAGTCCAATTCAAACTGAATTGGACCTTCCTCAGATTGAAAGTTTGACTGAGTCGACTCCATCTCCTGAAAGGGGGATCTGAGTTTGCTCAGGCTTTCAAAGCTTGGATCTTGGGGTCTTCGGGGCGTTCTTTTGTTTTTATTTTTATTTTTTTTACTTTACATTTTGTCATACATGGACGGACGGGTTTTTTAACCCATATATCTCATCATAGCTGACCACTTGCGGTCTTATCGTCTGGGTTTCTTAACCCAAAATCTCTTTATGGACCTTTTCAGGACCACCGGTCACTCGCGACCATTTTGTTCTAATTAGATTAATTAATCTAATTATATCTTGTATTATTCTTGTTTTTTGTATTTCTTGTAGGTAGATTTACCTATTACTCTTTGTTGTGGATAGCTATTGCTATCCTGTATATATCAATTTACAAGCTCTCATGCTCATTTTCATATTAATTTGAATGAGTGAAACTAAGTCCTGGGACAAATACTTTGTTGATCCCATTTAAATTGATTGAAGAGCTACACTTGCTCATTCTTATTAACTTGAATGAGTAGATATATTTTCTGTTCTCTCAATACACTGTTCAACTCAATTCATGTTTTAATCTGAATGAGTGCTTGCGAATTATCGAGCCAGCTCTGAGTTCCACTGTAAGACCTGGGTCAAAATAGGTCTTAAGGTAGGGTTTGGTGTATGAAGGTTTATGTTGTAGCATGCTAGGAGCAGGCTGGAGCTCGAAGGGAGCTACGGGAACCGCGACCGAGGACAGGAATGACCTAGTAGTGGCTGGGGTGAAGAGATGGTGACCCTTGAGGGAGTTCCTAGGAGGTCCAGAGAGGTCCCTAAGGCGTAGGGAGGTTAGGTAGATAGATGGAACCTTGTAATATCGCGTAGTAGGAGTTGTACTCGCTAGAACGTCAATATAGGAATCGAATAGGTCGTAGATAGGATTAGGTCTCGAGGTTGTAGGCTCCCGAGAGGGTACACGCCCGGAAGGGGAGGTTCCCGGGAACTGGGCTTAAGGAGGGACGTCCTAGAGTGTTGAAGGTAGTAACGGAGAAGCGATACGTGGTTCGACGTGAAGAGTAGCTTTGACGTTGCTTAGATCAAGGTCCTGAAGCTTATAGAATAGCTAGGGAGCTCGAGGAGGTTTGGGGAGGTTAGCTTACCAAGGTGGTAGGCATTGGGGAGCTTTAGTATTGTTCGAGGGAGCTTGGGAACTCACTCGGATTGCTTAGACATGAAGTAAAAGCGTGTATTGGATCGTATAGACGATCGCAGAGACGATAGACAAGAGTTGAGAGAAACAGAGGTAAAGAAATAGAGAGTAAAGAGAATTCCGTATAGGTAGCAGGTACAAAGGGACAGGGACTGGACCTATGTAAAGGGTGTGTGTTCAAAATATACCAAGCTAGGGACGTTTATGCTACGATGGTGCTTATATAGGCGAAAGGAGTAGACAAGGAACCATTATAGTAAACGAGCATTCAATGGGGATGGTGTGAAGTGCGGAACCCATGAGGCTAAATTGATAGGGGATTGTCCGGCGGCATACACGAGTCGCGGAGCTGTTGCTTCAGATGGAGGTTAGCATTGGTCGGAAGGTTGGCTAGGGTTCCGTCATGGGAGGTTATTTGGGAGGTGGGAAGGAGCTGATACGCGGTTCTGGGATGTCTAGGAGGTAACGAGGGGAGCTTTTTAGGGACAGGGCATGACATCCACCTTTGAATAGGGGTTCAAAGTAAGACTCCATTCCGGATCCTGGCATGAATTTTCACGCAAGATCAGGTTCACAAGACTTTACTGTCTTCATTGTCCTGAGTGCTCAAGTCGATCTCCGTTCGCCATTGATCATAACGACGTCGGGAGGTATTCTCAACTCCACTTTCAGGTTCTGAGCGCAGTTTCTTTACTTACTCCGCATATTTTGACCTTCTGTATGATCACTTTGATCAATTCTGGGTCGCTGCATTTGCAATACCATTCAATCTGATTGCAAAACTATTAGTCTAATTGAAAATTTGTAAATTTTCAATCAAATCGATATCCTCCTCCCCCAAACTAAATAATCCAACTGTCCTCAGTTGTCCTAATTTGGTCAGGAGTTTGATTTCACTGTTTTGGTATAAAAGCTCAGGCCAATTGGCTTTCAATATGCCATTCGTTCCAAGTCGACTTGCATTAGTCGAACTCAGTCGAGCTCTCATCCATACAAAGTTCCATCAACATCTATCATCGTTCATCCCAACATGCCTGTCCATCACAAGAAGGATCTCGACGTTGCTTGAGTTGCAGAGTCCCACTTGGGTGCTTTGCAGCAGCTACTTGCTTTGTACAAAGGCAAGAAGACGAACAATCCCGACAAGGCAACAATTTCTGTCCTACGTCGGTCTACCGAGTATCTACATGACCTCTTGGTATGTTTTATTCATTCAATTTAATTGAATCGTATTAATTTAATTCGTTTATTATCAGGAAAAGCCTGTTACTCTTTGTAGTCATGTTAGACAGATTTCTAACTTGACTGCTTGTCAGAGCATTATCGATACGTTGTGTCTCGGTCACAAACTATTCCCTGACATCGTCAGTGATTCTCACTTCGAGCAACATCTCAAGTTCATGGCTTTTGCTAATGATGCTCGTGTATGTATCAATTTTATTAATGATCATTTACATTAATAGTCTTTTCAGAACACTTTTGTTAGGAATCGCCTCCTCGATCATGCTCGTTCTGTTCATTCGGATCACGAGGCATCTACTCGTTCCGATAATTCTTGTTTCATGAAGAAGTCCAAGAAGAAAGCTACAAGATTTGCTTCCTCTCGTGACGTCAAACGTGAACTTAGATCCGTTTGTTTCGACTCTGATGTCGAGGTGAATCTTTAGATCCAATCTCAATTAATTTGATTTGTCAATTTTGTTCAGATGAACTCAGCCTCCGAGGACGAGTTGGTGTCTGGAACTGAACACAGTTTCAAACAGAAGCCTACTCTCTCTTTCATCAAGGTGAGTTGAAATGGTATTATGTTCTGTATCCACGACTCATTTCATATCGTAGAATCATCGCAGCACTCCCTATCCAACTACTGGTTCCAACAAAGGATCCAATAAGGATGAAAAGTCTGCTGTGAACGATGTTTCTCCTTGTCTTAGCAAGGTTCATTGCCACGCAGACAGTCATGTTTCATCTAACTGTATGTCGTGTCTCGCTGAAGATAAAGGTAATTCAATTTAATTCAAATCCGTTTCAAATGGATTCTTATTTCGTGTTTTTAGTGACCCATAGCAAGCATATTAATCATGCTCTTGCTCAAGTCGTATCTTCTAATCTCGATACTCCGCCAGCTCCTCTTGAGTCGCAAAGTACCAAATTCATTGCTGCTACACTCAACTTTCAGGCAGCTGAATTTGAATTTAATGGAAACTTGGTCAAGACTTATGCAACTCGTGTACGAATTGCCAAGGTAATTGCGGACGAAGCTTGCAGCATCTTGAAAAGTCGCCAAGATTCTGGCTCAGACTCTTCTGGTTCTGACACAAGTTTCGCTACTGCTCAGAGTATTCCCACCACTGGTTCTGAGGACACCGTCGTCACTTCTACAGAGATTGCTGTTCCAGTCCTTAAGACCGTCGAACGAGCTACTACTCCATTCACTTGTGGTGTTACTCCTATGATGGAAGACAAAGGACACGTCTCTGCCTAGGTCTGCAATCCATCTAATTGATTTTTATTTAAACTGATACACCATCATTTAGATGCATTCATTTACAACCCATAAATATTATAAAAACAGTTCTTCGTGTTGATTCACTGTCTTTACATGGTTTCCTATTCTTATTCATTCATTCCATGCCTACTGTCTTTATGCCATCACAGCTGTATAGTAGATGCATCATCTTACCATCGCCATTCATTTTATGATGTTTGTTTGTAACAGTATATCATCTAGAGTTTCAATCTAATTGTTGATCCTCTTCCTCACTGAGTTCTTTGTCAGAGTTGGTATCTGAGAGTCTCAGATGCGGTATGGCATCGAATATGTAATCATTTTCTGGTGTCATCCAATATTCATCTTCGTCTTCCACCATTAAATCTAATTGTTCGGCAGTTAAGTCGATAAGTTCGTGAATCTTATTTGGCAATTCAATTGGTTCATTTCGTGTAAAATGCGGTAATACTCTGAAGGCTCCGACCTTCTCTTTGAGTACTGTTCCATCCATTTCAGCAATAATATAAGAGCCACCCTTAGTTTGTCTGATTACGACCATAGGTCCTCTATATCTTGGATACATCTTTCTATCCAAACTCTTTCTAATTCCAGAATTCCTAACCTGGACTAATTGACCTGGTTTGAAATTCCAATCTTTAATTGTATGTCTATATTTTTGTTCAAATCTTTGTAGCTCTGCAACTTTGTTTGCATCTACTCTACGTCGTACCTTCTCAATAAATGAGTTATGTTTCGACAGAGCTTGAGCACGATATCCAATCAATTCATCTCTCGTTAAGATTCTATTAGGTGGATTCACCAACCAAGTTGATTCCACAATATCAAAGGGAAGCAATGGTTCAGCTCCTGTTACCAGGAAATATGGAGAACAACCTAGACCACGTCTTGGTGTTACTCTATCCGCCCATAGTATCATTTTCAAAAAGTAGAACCACTTAGATACATCCCCACCAGTTGCTTTGATCAAAGCCTGGCGTATGTCCAAATGCGCTCTTTCAATCTTTCCATTAGCTTGAGAGTTGTAGGCGGAAATTCTTATTCCTTTAATTCCATACTTCTCTTCTAGCCAAGCTAGCATATTTTTCATTTGACCTGCATTATCGGTTACCACTTCTTCAGGACATCCCCAACGACAAATTATATCGTCAAAGAACCATTCTCCTAAAGTTCTAGCATTCTCATGTTTTACTGCCCGGGCCTCAGACCATGAAGACAGTGAATCCCTTCCATGGATGATGTATTTACATCCATTAGATGGAATCGACATTATCATTGTATTGACATGTACCTTCTGAAACAATGAAGGTGTATGCATCAATGTAGGAGGTGCTTTCAACAGCTTCATCTGTCTATTTTGACACTCCTGACATGATCTCACATACCATTCCACGTCTTTATATATGTCAGGCCACCAGAATCGTTTCTGCAAGAAATCATTCGTTGCAAAGACTCCTTTGTGTCCTAAACAATCATGTGCATACACTTTTCTTTTCCCACCACCAATTGTGGTTGATCAGGTTGATCAGTATTCCTATGGTACAACCTTCCTCGGTCGCCCACTTGAAATTTTTTAATCAATCTAATAAATTTAATCCGTTCTTCTTTCGACATTTCACCCAGCAATTCATCTGTTGGGTTTGACAAATAATCTCCAATCAAAGGAATTAATTTGTCCAATCTATTACCCTCAGAAGATCTATGTGCTTCTGGGTACGGATTGTTTTGTACAAATTCTTCATCAAAAGTAGGGAATAAATTCCTACTGAAAACTTCACATGTCGCGTTTTTGGATTCTAACATGTAGTTCCTACAAATCTCATAGCTGCGCTCTTTATCCAGAGCTTCTTGTACATCTAATTCAATATCATCAGCTTCTTGGGCTGTTTCGTATAAGTAACCACTTCTAGGGTCAATTTGATCTTTGAAGTCATCAAATTGATACGGCTCTTCTGTTTCCCCATCTCCCATAATAAAATTAATTGGTTCCCCACCATCCTCATCAACGTAATCTTCTGGATTTACTTCTGGATGCTTTGTTTGCCATCCACCAGATGTGATTCATGATAATCCATCAGGACCATGGGTTGCACCTTTTACATGGATTAATGTAAAGTGATAGTTGCGTACATGCTCAATCCAACAGTTTATGGTTGCATTAGGACCACAACTAGGATTGTCTAGCATGCCTTTAATATAACTTGCATCGGTTTCAACTGTTAAATGTCTACATCCATAGACATGATAATAACTAGCTTCCAATGCTAATTTCAAGCCATACAATTCTCTCTTAGATTGCGAGAATCGTGCTTCGCGTTCATTCAAAGTCATTGATCCAAAGTAATTGAAAAACTTCTTCTTTTCAGTCGGATCAATTTGATAGATATACCATCCCACAGCTTTGTAAGAGGTATCCACCGCTAAGTAAACATCCCAATCAAAATTAATTGGTCTCA